TTCCTCTTTCTCTCTTTCCTCTCTCTCTCTCCTCTCCCTCTCTCTTTTCTCTCCCTCTCTCTCTTTCTCTCTTTTTCTTCTCATCGGTGCTTTTCTCCTGCCCTTGCTGCGTCTCTGCAGAGGAAAGTGAGCCAAATAAGAATGTCCGCAGTATGTCAGCTTGCTGGAGAACAAGCTGGCCAGCTAAAGAGAGAGAGAGAACGAAAGGCAGACGGCGCCGAAGGGGCGGGGAGGGGGCAGGAAGCAACAGAACGTACTGAAAGGCGCCCAGGGCACCACGGATCTGCCCAGGAAGACGCGTGACCGGCTCGGCTGCCCAGGAAGCGGCCCGGAGACAGCCCAGGGAGCGATGCCCCTGCCGGCCGCTGCCCCAGGCGGGACTCCACGCTGCCCAGGCTCACCCTCCACTCATTGGATGTAGCCCCGGGTGCCCCTCTTGCCCTGGCGCCCTCCCAAGCTGCCCGGCGGGCAGCAGGAAGAATGGGAGGAGGACGAGGGTGAGGAAGCTGCCGCTGGTGCCGGTCCCTGGAGGAGGCGCCCCCTGCGGGTCCGGCCGGGGCTCTTCTGCCAGTGTCCAGCACCTCCGGCCAGAAGTTTCTGCAGGCCATCATCATCGGTGTGAAGGGCGGGAGCCGCGCGCTGCTCGAGTTCCTGCACATCCACCTGGGCATGCGAGCTGTTGGGGCAGAGCCGTACTTCTTTGACCGCTGCTATGAGAAGGGGCTGCTCTGGTACAGGTAAGCCAGGGGGGCATGCCACTTGCCCCGCGGCCGCTTCGCGATGGTGCTCCATGGACTCAGAGCCTCCTCCATCTCCCCGCCATTGACCCTCCGTCTTCGGCTCTGCTGCTGGTTGGAAAATGCCTCCCCCTTTCTTTCCTTCCCCCTGATCTTCTGCTCACCTCACATTCTTCTCTGACAAGCTGACTGGGCTGGCTTTAAATCAGCTCTCCTCTCCTGCCATTGCTGCACCTCCCTCTTCCTTCCCAGCAGCCGGAACTCCAGTGCACCGTCCCAGCCAGTGGGGCCAACGGTTGTGCCAGCTGGGGATTGCAGGGGCTGCTCTCGGGGCCGTGACTTGCAGGAGGGCTGGCCCACCTGCCGGGGGCCACTCCCAGGGGGAAGCCCGGGGCTTCCCGCTGGCTCCCCGGCCACGTGCGCCTCGGATGGGACCAGCCTGGGAAAGGGACTTCCTGGCTATGCTTCTCCCAGGGTGTGGTGTACCCGGGCACAGGGCCAATCAGGAGCTCTGCGAGGGGGCAAGTCCGAGAGAGAGAGAGAGAGGGGGGGGAGGGGGGAAGGGAAGCGCAAGTGCCTCTCTCTGTCTCTCTCTGCAAATGGCGGAGGAAGCTGAGAGCCACAGCAGAAGGCTCAAAGAGCCACATGTGGATCCAGAGCCATGGGCTGCTGACCTGTAACCTAGCTCTCTGGAAAACCCTCTGGGAAAGAAAAGAGAACAATCATCAGCAAGGTTGATGGCCTCAGTTGATAGGTGTTTTATTGCAAGACCTGAAAGACCACATTAGGGACAGATCATCATGGAGGTTATGTATGTGGCCATTAAAGTTGATACCTACTTTATGGCACATCAATCTTTTGCAAATTTTACTGATTTGTTTATATTTAGTGTTATGGTTTTTCTTCTTGTTCGTACTACATGTTATCAAGTTTCCTACACTATTTTAATCACATTTTCCAATATCATACAATGAGGATAGTGTGACTGGTATTTCACTTAATGTTGCTGAGGAAAAAAAACATTGTAACAAATTTTATAAAAGCCATATGTGATAAGAAATGTAATGGCAGAACTAAAGAGCCTCTTGATGAGGGTGAAAGAGAGTGCAAAGATTGGCTTGAAACTTCTACATTAAAAAAACTAAGATCATGGCATCCAATCTCCTTACTCCCTGGCAAATAGAAGGGAAAGAAATGAAGCATTGACAGATTTTATTTTCTTGGGTCCCAGATCACTGCAGATGGTAACTGCAGCCATGAAATTAAAAGACACTTGCTCCTTGAGAGGAAAGATGTGGCAAATTTAAACAGTACATTAAAAAGCAGAGATATCTTGCCAATAAAGATCAGTACAGTCAAAGTTATGGTTTTTCCAGTAGTAATATATGGTTGTGAGAGCTGGGCCATAAGGAACACTAAGCAAAGAAGAACTGGTGCTTTTGAAATGTAGTGCTGGAGAAGACACTTAAAAGTCCCTTGGACTGCAAGTCAGTCAATTGTAAAGGAAATCAATCCTGATTGTTCTTTGGAAGGAGAAGCTGAAGTTCAAATACTTGTCCACCTAATGAGAAGTAGGAAAAGACACTGATGTTGGGAAAGACTGAAGGCAAAAGGAGAAGTGGACGGTAGAGGATGAGATGGTTAGATCAGGCTTTTCAACCTTTTCACCAACTGTACCACTTTTAGGATATAGCAATATTTGAGTACCACATAGCAAGGTGTCAAAAACTTGATGACCAAAAAAAAAAAAAAACTGTTCAAAGTTGCAATTGCACTGAAATGACTTATGACCATTTTTCACACTTATGACCATTGCACCTTGCCCAGGGTCATGTGATTTATATTTGGATGCTTGGCAACTGATTCATATTTATGATGGTCAGTGTCCCAGGGTCATGTGATCTCCTTTTGCAACCTTTTGACAAGCAAAGTCAATGGCAGGGGTGCTGGTGGGCAAGTGCTAAGGTGGGACTTCCCTCTCTCCTTTCCTGCCTCCCTCTTTCTCATGCCCACCTCCTTCTGAAGGAAGAATTTGAACCCCCCCCCCATATTTTCTCTCTTCCATATATTCACCAAACAAGGAAAAGCCTCCAGAGACAGAAAAGACAAGCTGCTGAGTGAACTAGCTTAAAAAGACATATTCCCCTTTAAGAATTAGTTACTGGCTAGAAAGAAAGTTAAGGAATGCAGCTGGCAGTTAAGAAAAAAAATGTAGTAAGTATTGGCTGCCAGCTAAGGCAGCCTCCCCAAATGGCTCCATTCGTAAGTAAAGGAATGCTACTGGCAAAATCCATTCAGGAGAAAAATACTTCAAAATCCCTTGCAACAAAACTTATAGCTAACAATAGCAGAGCAATAGAAACTAACAGGAGACACCAGCCATTAGCCAAATAGAAATTGCCAAATACTCCTTAAGAATACAAAGCCCTCATTGCACAAATCCCAGAACTTCAAAGTCACAAAAGCAGATAAGAATCTTTCCACTCTCCATCTCCCTCCCCTCTGCCTCACCTCCAGCCATTGCTGCTTTTTTCATTCCTCTTGGAGCGTGACCCCTCCCCTGCTGCATTTCTTGCCTATTTGTTGCTGCCAGCACAGGTGGCTGCCACAAAAGTTATAGATTGGCTCATGGCCAGCCTGCTTGATCTCTTCTCCTCTTCCCTCACCCTCCTCCTTCCCCTTCGGTGCAGCTAGAGCTGACTCCACCTCCTTCCCAAGGCTGATTCTTTTTCTCTCTCTCCCTCTCCCACCCAAACTGCCTCCTTTTATAGCGTCTCCTGTCTCCACCCCCTCCTCCTCCTTTCTCATGGGGGAGGGTGAGCCAGAAGTGAGCCTGGGGCCTTTGCCTTGCCCCAGCCACTCTGCAGCTCCAGAGGACTCTCTTTAAGTCCTTGCCTGAGCTGTATATGGCTGCAAACCACCTGCCACTCATTAATGTACCACAAGTGATATGGTACCACCGGTTGAAAAGCCCTGGGTTAGATAGTGTCATCAACACAATAACATGAATTTGGACAAACTCCCAGAGACAGTGGAGGACAAGGGAGTCTAGCGTGATATGATCCATACGATTGAAAAAAGTTGGACACGACTTAGTAACTGGACAATAACAAAATGTGGTAACAACAGAGGTTCAAGGCCTTGTAGGTTGAAGGAAGAAAGCAATAACAATTAAATAATAGAGAACCTTAGGGAGGTCATCAGAGGCAAACATAAGATTTCTGGATGTGTACTAATTTCCATAACTGAATTAATTTTTAAACTCAAGCTCCTTCCCTTAGTGCTTTGAAATAGCCTGAAGTCTATGGAGATTCTCAGTCATCTAGGTCAGGGGTCCCCAACTTTTCTTGGTTGGCAGCCTGGGGCAGGTGGAGGCACATTTATGCATGTGAGCATGAATGTGCGCGCACGAACGGGGCTGTGATTGTGCATGTGATGCATGTGATGCAAATGGGGCCACGAGCGAACACTACAATACTCGGAAGACAATAGCACCTGTGCAATGCTTGCATGAGTGGAGATGTTGCGCTTGCAGCGACGATAGCACCAGAATGATGCCACGATGCTAGCACGTGGGGGGGTGGTGCACTCATGGCGACACTAGTGTCCACACGATGCTCATGGCATTGCTAGCACCCGTGCAATGCCACGGTAGCGTGAGAGGGGGGTGAGCTTGTGGCAACGCTAGCAACCATGCAATGCCACAACATTGTTGGATGGGAAGGCAGTTGGAGGCTTGCAAGCTCCCACTGATTCCCACCACTATACATGCCTGAACTTCATTGGGTAGATGAGTGGCTATAGGGACCCAGTGGGATGGGTGGATGAGCTCTGCAATCCATCATAAGAATGAATGACTGTGGGGATGCTGCAGCCACCATAATTTTGAAAGTTGCAAGTAGCTTTGGGGAAGTCTGTTGTAACTTCGAATGGTCATTAAGCAACCTGTTGTAAGTTGAAGACTACCTGTGTTGTGTATAAACAGAGAGCAAATCCCACTCCCTTCTAGTACCAAAGATGTTATCTTGTTGAGTAAACAATTAATCAGAAAAAGCCCCAAAGAATCTGCAGAAAAAAAGAGAGAGACAGGACAAAGAGAGAAAGGGGGAAAAAGCAAATAAATGCTTATAAAATACAAATGAATTGGTCTCTTAGAAGCTCTAAGTGTTCAGTCTCTAAATAGAAATAGTCAGGGTTCAAGAATCAAAAACATAACTGGCTCCAAACGGAAGAGGCAACTTGAGGCGAAAAACGCCTCTATGTCATTTGGAACTGTTATGTTTTGAATCATACTCCAAATTCTCAAGAAAAAATAAAACAAGGAGGATTCTTTTAATTACCTTCACTTGAAGTTTTGTTTCGCTGTCTTGGTCCTTTTGTTGCCTGCTGCTTTGATAATCTTGCAGAATTTTCATTCTTAAAAATGTACATAAAAGCATGTAGTGCATGTCTATTGTCTAGGTCCATATGTGTATGTGCATGAATGAGTGTATGTATGCGCACACACACACACACGCACACACACACCATGCAGGCATTTTTAGAATATTACTTTTTTTCCATTTTCTGAATGTATAAAGGTATCATAGGTAGTCAGATTTTAAACAACCAAGTTATAAGGAGAACTGAGTCTTTAGTAACGTACTCTGTACAATTTGGATGTATCTCTATTTTCTATAATTCAAGCAATGGTAGAAAAACAATGTGGTCATTCCAGCAAAAGAAAAATGAAAGATATATTTTGCTTAATCAACTGAGGTGTATTTTTCTTAATTGATAAATGAACAAGTATAATGTTTTGGACTCATTTGTTTAACAGAGTTCTCTTTTTCCAGTTTTATGAAGTGTGGAGAACAGACCGCATTTTAAATCAAATTCATGCAGAAATATTACAAATTCAACAGGGTTCACAAACTTTTAAACATCACTTCTCAGGTCTTTTATTCTCTTTCATGCATGTTGCTTTAATTGCTTGCTTTTGCAAAAGTCACAATTTACAGGTTTGTATTCAATAGATAAAAACTATATATAGAAAAAGGAGAGCAGATTCTTACATACAAAAAACCCCCCTCTAATTTTATGTTACAGAGATTTCTCATTCAGCAACTGCATTGTTTAGCAAGTATTTGCAGTTATACTGGTAATTACAGAGTAACTTCATAACCAATCTTTGCATTTTAGTATTTTAACAGTTACATGTTTCAAACTATAAGCCACACATGCTTTTTGTCACTTGTCTGTGGAGAGTAAAATGTAATATACCAGTAATCTGCAAAATTAATATTTTCTATTACTTACTTCTTTATCAAATTCAGCTTGATCTTTTATAGACTTTTCTGCCAGTTTTTTAGCAACATTCTCTTCAGATCCTGTGGGCTAAAGAGAGAATATTTTTAATAAAATATTTAGAATCATTAACAGGCTGAAAAAGTAGTCCTCAACTCATGATGGCAATTGAGACTGGACATTCTGTTAAGCAATACAGTCATAAAGTGCAAAGTGCAAAGAGGCACAAAAAGGCTTAGGGAAGGACATATAGGGATGTGAGGGGGTGAATGAGGCAGTCATGGCAAGGCTCAGGGAGGGTATGTGGGAGTACACAAACTAACCAGTGCAGTTTAAGTGCAGAAGGAGAAGGTGCACAGGTGGGGGAGAGTTGCCCCAGTGACTTGCAACTTTTCCTGCCAGCTTTTCCACTGACTTTCCTGGGAAGCTGACAGGAAAAGTTGCATGTGGCAATCACAAGATCCTGGGGTGCTGCAAGTTGTTTGTAAGTGCAAGCCAGTTGCCAAGCTCCCAGATTGTGATCAGATGTCCAAGGGGGTGCCTGGGTGGCCAGAACTCTATGAACTATGGCCATAACCACCATTTAGCACCATCATAACTTTGAACAGTTATTGAACTAATACTCATAAGTTGAGGACTACTTGTATTATCTCTTTATAGTTTTCTGTGACAAATAATCCTCACCAATAAGCAATACTACATATATGCAATTCTGCTCTCAAAGTCTGAATCAACAAACCCCATTATTAATGAACAGAATGGATTTCAGATTTATATAAGTTAGTCCATGGATTAATTTAACAAATTCTTGATGGTCATAGAAATTTCACTGATAGTCAGTGACTATATTTCATATCAAAGCTGACATGGTTATATAGTAATCTGAGCTCATGTCTTCAAAGTTGTCACACATTATTTTATTACAAATTAATACAGGTAGTCCTCAACTTACAACAACTGAGCCCAAAATTTATGTTGCTAAGTGAGAAATTTGTTAAGTGAGTTTTGCCCCATTTTATGACTTTTCTCATTATATTTGTTAAGTAAATCACTGTAGTTCTTAAATTAATAATACATTTGTTAAGTGAATCTTGACTTCCCCATTGACTCTGTGTCAGAATCCAATTATATTTCATCTTTAAATTATCAAATATAGAAACTCCCAATTCTGCCTTCTCTGGATTCTGCCATAAGAGGGAGAGAAGGGGGAGAACAAAGGGGCTTTATGGCCCTCACTTCCTTCTTTACACTTCAAAGAGCTGAATGCTGAATGTGTGTTTATTGTAACCTCGAAGCGTTAAAATACCAAAGGAGGGAAGTTGCCTTTCATGTAGTTATCTGAAGTCTCCATCCAGACGGAAGAAAGAAGAAAGGGAGTGGAATTGTGATACTTGAAACTATCACTGGAAGGGGGGTTGATTGGGTGGGACTACTGGGGAACCCCTTAAACCTTGAATGGGAGAGCTTGGACCCCAAGTCCTGTCTAGCATGCCTGCAACCATTTTCTCTTAATAAAGGATTCCTGTTGGAAGAATTATTCCAAGAGTTCTGTCTTCTTAAGATGCAAAGTGGGGTGGGTCCTTACACTCTGCTTGTCAAAAGGTCGCAAAAAGAGATCACATGACCTTGGGATACTGCATTATAAATGTGAGTCAGTTGTCAAGTATCTGAATGTAAATCCCATGACCACGGGGATATTGCACCACTCATAAATGTGAAAAATGGTTGTTAAGTCTCTTTTTTCAATGCTGTTGCAACTTCGAATAGTCACTAAATGAATTGTTGTAAGTCGAGCACTACCTGTAATGTAAGACCATAGTCAATTAACTCACATTACTAAAATAAGATCTAACCATTATTTTCATCTGGAGCAATTTAGAAATATCCAGTGAAATCAATGAGAACCACCAACTAACTTGATTGCATCATTCTCTTAAATTTAAGTACATTCAGAGCTTTCTTTGTTTATTTAATGTACTAGATGTCATAATATTGCTGTTTAAAAAGTAAAATAGTAGTTATTTTAAGAGGCTTTTATGATATTTACTATTTACATGAGATAAACAATGAAAGTTCTGAATGTATTGAAATCTAAGAGAATGATTGAATCATGTTTTTTATAAGAAAAAATGCTTAAAAAGATACTATAGTTAGTCTACACATGTTTTGCCTTTCAAACGAATTGCCATAGAATTTACAATGTTAAAATTAATATTTAGAAATGCATCCATAGTTATGACTGCAGTTCATACTTTAAATAACTTGGTGATATGTTAAATTTTTGAGTAATTATTTATTAAATTTCTCCATTGCCTATCTCACCTAAAGTGACTCTTAGATACATGCATTTTTATATGGAAATGCTTAAAACGCCTGTTAATTCCAATTATCATTAACTATTACTGTACACATTACCTTTTTGTCTGGTTTGTCTTTTCTTTCTTCTCGTGTTGTTTCTATATTTTTACCTCTTTCCCTCCGTTTGTCTTTTTCTTTGCCCCTGTCTCGGACTTTCTCATAATCTTTATCCCTGTCTCTAAGTTTATCTTTTTCTCGTAATCTGTCTTTTTCTCTTCCTCCCTCATATTCTTTTCTTTCCTTGTCTCTTTCTCTATCACATTCTTCTTTTTCTCCTTCCCCTTCTTCTTTTTCTTTGTTTCTAATTTTTTCTGGCTCTCTTTCTGATTTGGATAATCTATTCTTGATTCTCTCTTTTTCATATTTTTCACTTTCATTAACAGTTTTATCAAAATTATTGGGATGGTTTTCATAATCTTTATATTTTTCATTTTCTCTTTGCTTGCTTTCTTCCTCTTTCAATTCTTCTTTGATTTTTTGATCCTGAACCGTGCTTTTGTCTTTTATTTCAGAATCACCTCTTCCCTAAATAATAAAATACAAAATATTAAATTACATACAAAATATTTGGGTAATTCAAAATGTTAGCCGTCATCCTTAAAACCCTTTAGGGATTAGGACCTAGATATCTTTGGGATTCATTATAGATAGTTCTTGATAATAATTTCGGTTAATAAGCAATATGATTGTAAAATGTGATATCACATGACTGTATTGCTTTGTGACAGCAATCGAGGCGGTTGCTAGCATAATCTCAGGACTGCATGGGTTATTAATTGGGAGAGGTGGGAGTCTCAGATAAGCAGGCCAGTGGGTGAAAGCTGCATGTGAGAGTGATGGAAGGGCAAATGCCACAGGGAGATGTTACAGAAAATGAGAAGCTTAGTGGGTGCTGCAACCAGGCAGTATGGAATATGGACAGGTAGTTGAGTGCCACAGGGGGGCACTAAGGAACACAGATGGGTGGATGGGTACCATAGGCAGGCATTATAGAATGCAGGCAGGTGTACAGATGGGTGCATAATTACTGCAGGTGGGTGTCATAAAGAGGTGCTATGGAATGTGAAGATGAGCAAGTGCCATGAGTGAAAGAGCAGGTGAAAAAATGATGCAGGTTTTTGCAAGATTTTGGTTGTGGGAAACCAAGCAGGAAAGGTTGCAAATAGCAATCATATGACTTCAGGACACTGCAGCATTGTAATTACAAACTGGTTGCCAAGTGCCCAAATTATGATCATGTGACTGTGGAGACACTGAAACGGCTGCAACATTGCAGACTAGTCTTAAGTCCCCCTCATAATTTTGAATGGTTGCTGAACAAGTGGTCATAATCTGAAGATTGCTTTGATCTATAAGTAGTCTTTGACTTATAATCACTAATTCAGTGACCATTCAAAATTACAATCATGCTGAACGAAAAGACTTACGACCTATATCCAAACTTGTAACTGCTGCAATGCCTCCAAGATCACATGAACAAAATTTGCGCACTTGGCAATCCACCCACCCTAATGATTGACATAGTGATGCTACAGCGCCCCCCATCCATCTTCCCCTATCCCCTCTTTGGGCCTATCTTCCATGTGGCTGGGTCCCCACAGTCCTTGGGCTTGCTTCCCGCATCATGCCTCGCTTCGCCTACCTTTTCCAAAGATTACTTTGGGTAAAACTGGCCAATCTGCCCTATGGCCTTTCTATACTGAGAACCTATGGTGCCATCCCGGAAATGGTTACAATTCTCTCAATCCAAGAATTTCCAAATAGTGCATTGGCTTCTTCTTTCTCAAAGGCAATCTTTGGAAAAGGTAAGTGGACTGAGATGTGATGTGGGGGGAGAAGAAGCCAGATTGTGGGATCCAATAGAGCAGGAAACAGAGCATGGGGTGCCTCACAGGATGGAGGTGGCCCTGGGAGGCTCAAGGCAGGCCATATGTGAGCTAGGGAGGCCTCCCAGGGCCTCCTTCATCCCAAGGATTCTCAGGCTCTGCTTAATGACAACCAGGAGAGCAGGGATTGTTGTCGTTCAACAAGATGATCACATCAGTGCTTTGCTCAATGACTGCTAAACTTAAAATTGTAATTCTGGGCTCGACTATTGTTGTAACTCAACGACTACCTTTATATTTCTTATGTATTTTGTTTTAAGCTGAGTTTAATCAGTTATCACTTAGCTTCATTTATGACTGAATCAGCACAGAAATCAAGTAAATAAAGAAATAAAACAATTTCCCTGGGTTTTTTATTCAACATATAGAACCCTATTACCTCTTTATGATATCTACATTCTTCTGTTTTAGATTCTCTGTTTTGAGATTTAGATGAATATTGTGTCTTTTCTTTAATAGCTTTTTCTTCAGCAAGTACTTTCTGAACAGCTTCATCACTGGAAAGCTACATAAAAGAAATGCACATTAAACTACTAGAATAAATGTAACTCCCAGTGCCAGAATACAAACAAGCACCCCATGCCCTCGTTCTTTGGCCTCCCTGCATTCACACATACTTCACAGGTCAATGCTGCTAATACTGTATATTCTTGCTTTGACAAAATATGCAAAACTGTATGGTATTTTTAGAGTTAATGCAGAGGAGAAGGAGGGAGGAGGGAAAAGCCTGCGAAAGAGAAAGGAAGGGAACCTTTGCCCTTCACACTAATTGGAGAATGTAAATCATGACATCAAAATAGGGAGTGGAAATGCTAGCAAAATAACTGCGCGGTGGGTGGGGATTTTAGATCTTAGCATCCCTTCGTTATGCCGTGCCGACATTTTGTAACATAATAAAAGACTTTTAGGAAAATCAATGCCTGGAAGTTCTTTGAAGTGTTTCCTTAGCCGGAAGTGTTTCCTTAGCATGACATCATGCTAAGATCTCAATCCTTTTCAAATGACCTGGGGTCCTGAATTCCATCTAAGCTTGAGAGGAGCTGGTAAAGATTCAGGGGAAGAAAATCTATCATGAGAAAAGAGAGTTTGATTGAAGACCTAGCAGCTGCTGATAACCCAGAGTGGGAAGCAACAGACAGCATGTTGTGGGAAGATAGATTTTGGCAGACAAATACAAATCGGTGGAGAGCTGCCAGGTCACCTGCAATTGAAGATTCGGGTGAGTCACTGGGAAGATTTCAAAACCCAGAAGTGAGAAGCAGAGAGCAGCTTCTGTTGAGAGTAGCCCCTCCCTCACAGATCAAACAGCCTTCCAAACCCTGGGGTCCTCTGCCAGGGCCTTCAGCCCCACAGAGAGAACCCCAGCCTGGGCCCTCTACAGCAATAGGGAATTGAGCAACCCCCACAGATAGATGATCAGCAGCAACTGAGCATACCACAGCTAATAGAGGACTTGCAGCAGCTTGGGATGGTGCAAAAGCCAGGAGAGCGACAGCTGGTGGGCCCGCAGATGAGGGAGGCCCAGCAACAACCCCCACTTGTCCAGCAGCCATTGAGAGGCCTACAGCAGCAGGGGGCACCACCAGCCCCCGCTGGCCAGCAGCAGAGAGCTCAGCAGCCGGTGGATCAGCAGGCAGGATGGGGCCAACAGCAACTGGGAGGGCCACAAGCGCAGAGGGGAGTCCAGCAGCTGTGGAACCAGCAACCAGGGTGGGGCTAGCAGCAACAGCCCCAGTGGGGGCCACAACAGCCTGTATTTGCACCACCTTTCAGAGCAACCTTCAATGGGGACCCAGAAAAGCTGATTTTTTTTCTGAACCAAGTGTGTTCTCCCTTGAATCGCTGGGCCTATCTCTATCCGGACCCAGGTGCCATGGTCGATGTTATTGCGTCCAACCTAGAGGGAGAAGCATCTGAATGGCTGAATAATTTACATAGTGAGCAAGCCCCCGAACTGGAAGATCCCCACCTTTTTCTTCTGGGACTGAGAGAAAGATTTGAGGACCCATCCATTGGCCTCAAAGCAGCAGAACAGATCCACAAAATAAAACAAGCCGGCAGGCCTGCCCTGGAGTACGTGCGAGAGTTCCGCAAGACAACAGGTCGAATAGAGGGTGGCCTGAGCAAGCCCTCATCCAACACTTCATTGAGGGATTAGATGATCACCTCTCTCAGGCATGCATCTATCGAGCCATACCTGATCAGCTGCACGAATGGTACCAGGCAGCAGTGAAGTTAGACATTCGGTTCGCCCGCTATAAGAAGCCTCTCCCACACTAAACCGAGCAGCAACCAGAGCTACCCAGACAGCAATCACCCTCACAAAAGCCTTCAACTACTGCAGTGGCTGAGAGACCCAGGCCACCTACAGGCCCATCAATTAATGTTTTTGGTGTGGAAAAGAGGGACATCGAGCAGAAGGATACTCTGCCTTCTTTAGAAGAATGGGTATTTAAGGTTTCTAATTTAGCAGAAATGGCTAAAATTTTTGCTTATTTAAAGGACCATTCACAAGAGAGATATTTTAACGTATGGAGAAGATGGATAGAATATGTTCAGAAAAAATATGGAACTACAAAGTTTCACTTATTCTATGAGTAATGATTTTGTTTATAAACTTATGATGTTAAAGTTTGAAGAGAGTTAAGGGTTTTTATGATTTTGTTCATTGTATAATTAGTAAACTTAAATAGATTATGTTTAATATGTTTGCATAATCCTGTATTTTGCTCTGGGAAGTCGGGGGGAGGGGGGGTGGGGGTGGATGGGTTGAAGTTTAAGTAGTTCCGATAAAGTAGAAATAGTCTTAGTGTATATAATATTAATGTTTTAATTTTGAGAGAGGAACTGCTCGGGCATTTCCCCTGGACCGCATTAAGAGGGAGAAGAAGAAGGTAAGAAGTAAGTAGGAAGGTGGAGGTGAAGGAGGAGAGGGGGTGAGTGAAGAAAAAGAGGGAAAGAAGTAAGTTGGTCTGAGGTGGGATGCGGTTTGGGGGGAAATGGGCGGGCAAGACCGAATGTGGTGTATATCAATTTGTTTTATTTTTTATCTGAAGTATTTGTAAGATTGTTATGTATTGTAAAATAGAAAATAAAAATTTTTACAAAAAAAAAGGAACAACTTGTCCAGTCCCCTACCCCTGACTGCAGAGCAGACCGGAACCAGCAATGAGAAAGAAACCTGCTCAACGGATAACGAGAGAAAAATCCAACCGGCTCACGCAGGAAGCTGTTGCCCAGATTATATTCCACGCGCAGGAGAACGCCGAGGCTCTGAGTGAACCCGCCCCTGCTCTACCCTCCTTTGACAGCAACGATGAAGGAGAGAACGACCTGATGGTGAGTCGACAAATCCCACTTTTTTCACTGGCCACCAAATTTATAATCCCTAAGTCTGGGGCACAAATGGACTTAAATGTGCTAATTGATTCTGGATGTACCCGCTGCATTATTAGTCTGCCATTTGCCATGAAAATGGGCATATGGGCAAAACAGCTTTCCAAACCGGTGAGGTTTGAGCAAGCCGATGGCTCGCCAAAGAACATTCCAAGTTGGGGAAAAGGTTTATTTGTCAACTAAATATCTACGCCTCAAATTGCCCAGCAAGAAATTGGGACCAAAATTCTTGGGGCTTTTCTCCATAGTAAGGATCATCAATCCAGTCGCCATAGAACTAAAACTCCCTAGACTTTTAGGGATAATTCACCCAGTCTTCCATTGCAGCTTATTGAAACCTTATCGGGGCTCCACTTTAAGACCTCCCCTGAAGAAGGCACCTGGGCCTCTCATAGTTGTGGGACAGACCCACTATGAAGTGAAACGTATTCTTGACTCTAGAATCTTTAAAGGGAAATTGCAGTACCTAGTGCAATGGAGGGGATACCCATTGTCTGAAGCCACCTGGGTGAAATCCAGTGAAGTGAAAGCTGATAGATTGGGCAAAAGGTTTCATGTGAAACACCCCAACCATCCGAAAACTAGTCATTAACATATGTTTTTGTTTACATTACAGGATCTGTCCTTCTTGTAAGGGGGGCCGGATGTCAACGCTGCTAATATTGTATATTCTTGCTTTGACAAAATATGCAGAATTGTATGGTATTTTTAGAGTTAATGCAGAGGAGGAGGGAGGAGGGAAAAGCCCGCAAAAGAGAAAGGAAGGGAACCTTTGCCCTTCACACTAATTGGAGAACGTAAATCATGACATCAAAATAGGGAGTGGAAATGCTAGCAAAATAACTGCTCGGTGGGTGGGGATTTTAGATCTTAACATCCCTTCGTTATGCCGTGCCGACATTTTGTAACATAAGACTTTTAGGAAAATCAATGCCTGGAAGTTCTTTGAAGTGTTTCATTAGCTGGAACCATGACACCACAAGACTCTTTTCCCAGCCTCCTTGCTTTCACATTCACATACACTATATGCCCTCTTTCCTCAGTCTCTCTGCTACATATGCACAACTGCACCCTTTCTCTGGCCTCCCTATGCTCACATACAGGTATGCACTACATGGCCTCTTTCCTTGGTTGCCCTGCACTTTCACATATCCCACATCTCTTTCCCCAACTTCCCATTGCTCACTTGCACACAGACATGCATTCCACATTATCTTTCTTCAGCTTCCCTATGCTCCCACACTCCACACTCTTTCCCTGCATTGCACGCACCCCATAGCCTCTTTCCCTGCATTCACCCACATTTCATTTTCTTTTCCTGGCCTTTCTGAGCTTCCACCACAGTGCAGCACCTCCTCCCCAACTCATATGTGATCTGCGCTGGGCCTTCTAGGGCCTCCCCCACCTTTCTTGTGGCATCTCCACACTCTTTACCTGGGATCCTTTCACTTTCGAATTTGCATGTTTGGAATTACAACAACAACCAGGGCTGCCTGGACTGCCATTCCTATGATCACATGACATCATGTTTTATAACCTTATCACTTAGTGACAGCAATTCTAGTCCCAACTGCAGCTGCAACTCAAGGTATATGAAATCCTGAAAACTGTTCCAGATGATTGAAAAGCAAATATTCCCCTCTATCTTCAAAAAAAGGAAAAAATATAAAGGAAACTTTAGATCCATTTGACACCTTGGTGGAATGATTTTATCTCTTTTTAATGAGGTAAAATTTGTAGTTCATTGTATGAAAGCTGGAGCCAATGCCTGATTTCAACTACATATTTGGCATGGTACCTATGTGGCAAGCTAATTAGCAGTCTATGGGTTGGATGGCTTGAAAATTATATCCAATTTCTCATTGGATAATTCTTTTGAATGGGGCATTGCAGTTATCAATCCTAGATCCTCTAATGCAGTGGTTCTCAACCTTTTTAATGCCGCGACCCCCAACCAGTCGTAAGTCGAGGACTACTCAACCGGTCGTAAGTCAAGGACTACCCAACCGGTCGTAAGTCGAGGACTTTCCCTGCCCGGGAGTGCTGCGCATGCGTGGTGCCGCCCCCTGCGCCGGCCGAGGCATAGCTGGCAAGGGGCAGCGATGGCGC